ACTACTTACTGGTTACACCCAGTGTAGCGACACTCGAAGCTACTGCTAGTCTGCTATTCTCTTCGGCCTCGCGTCGGTAGCAGATTATGAATAAGTTGACTGGTATGCAATTTTGCGTGCTGAATAACAGGCGTCTATGCAATACACAAATGCGTGCAATGAATCTGTGAGATCCGGGTTTTGTCCAAGATAGTTGTCTTGCTGTCTTTGAGTATGGGAATTTCGATCCTAGCGAAGCAGGATTGTGGTTTCACTAGATGATGTATGGACTCATTTCAACCATTCGTTATATGTTTCTTGTGTTGGCGAGTTGTATGGAGGTCCTGCTTCTTTACAAGTTTGTCTAAATAACATTGCCGAGCGGACGGAGTGCGAGGTTAAAATGATTATGGCGCGTCCACAGGATAGAAAATGTTCCTTGGTACAAGTATTCTTCTAGGAGGTATTCTATGAGGATCGGCCAAACAAGTGTGCCTACTCCGGTTCCTAGGAGAATGATGCCGATGGACATGGATCTTTTCTTAACAAAATGCTCCGCAGTTGATGCTTGCGACGGAATCATTTCTAACGATGATCCTAGCCCTGCAAATGCAAGTTAGTCTGTAAAACCTCACATGTTAATGCTCTTTAAATCGTTTTAGGAATCTAAGGGTAACTACAGAAGCAAGCTGAATAACGTATTTCCGTTTACGAGTCCGAAATTAGGCTGTAAAACCTGACAAATTACCGATATCTGAATCATTTTAAGAATTTAAGGGAAACTAGAGCAAGCTGAATGGCGTATTTTCGGCGAGTACAAAATCATGCCAGGAAGTGGTGATCATTTGCCAATAAATCAGACACGGTGATTTAAACTTTTATTTAAACCTATAACTGTTGAGAATCGCCGGAGAGATTGCTTGACTAGGAAGCTATACACCTAGAACGCTAGGTTAGTAAGTTCCTTGTTAATATAATGACATAACCCGAATTAGATGACAACAAGTTACTAGGTTATAGCAGCGAAATATTCGCACAATTAACGAATAGCTCATAATATATTAAATATGCGCCATGAATAAATAGCAAGCAGAACGATGAGCTGCTCCCTTTATTCTTACCAAACATTAGTCCATACGTAAGGTACAAGAGCGGAAGTCCTTTAGCGAAGTACGTTAGTGACATTCCTACTCCAGCAATGATTGCACCGGGTATAGCCACTGTCCTGTAGGAGTATCTGTGACACAGCGCCGTTGCCAATGGCGCTGACGAGAAAAAATGTCATTCGTAATGAGCTGAAGCAATGAATTATATTATGATTGTATACATATATAATATATCACTAATGTGTCATAGCACAACATAAACAAAAGCACTAACGATGGCTTCCACGTTCCCTTGTCAGTATGCTATTATTGCTATGTCTCCTATATTATTGCTATATGTGAAGCGACGAGTTTAATAATGATGATTTGTTTTATAGTCTCATAATGCTACTAAGTTAACGCTATGCCCATTGACCATGAAACGGTGAACAAACTATATAGAACGCACGAGCCGCATGCTATACTTACCCAGCAAATAAAGAGCGGCGTTTGCGATTCCGTTTGCCCATGCCGTCAGTGCGTTGCTAGTACCGAATTCCTTGGTGAGTACGGGGAGAAAC